GGGGGGGGGGGGGGGGGGGGGGGCAAATTTACCCCTCCTTTGATTCCAGTTTTCTTGTGGTGAGGTGAAGACCTAAACCGTATCATAACAAAAACACCCATTAACATTCAATAATTACTTGGTTAGTTTTTCGTAGAAGCATAAATTAAATTTTCTCAAAACAGCCAGAGTTTTCACCCAAAAGACGAATATTTTCAAACAAATATTGCACTAAAGGATTATTTATAATGCAACCGAAACTACGGATCATATGCTTCAGTAAACATATAAAAAACTTGCTTTGGTTAGTTATCAGATATGTACGGACAAATCAACAGTCAGAAGTCATCTCAATCAATGATTTTTTCCCGACAAAAAATGTGTTCATCTTAGAATAAAAGTATCTTATAACTTGTGTATACCAAAAATATTTTGCTTATAGATGGACTAGGCCCTGAACTACCAGTGACAAAAATATCAATCCAAAATATGTGGTCGAACATATTCCAGAAAAGGATCAAATGACTATATGATCTATAGATAAATATTCATCACTATATGTAAAGTCTAATCATTAGGATTGAAAACTGACCGAAAAGAAGAAAAAAAATGTTCTAGTTTGGATGGAATGAGTATTTAATCAACAGAGATCTTCGCAACAGAGAAGATATTCGGAAAAGATTCGATGTTTGACTCCTTTTCAAGATGGCCACCAAAACATTCATTGTACTGCCCAAGCAGTTGTCAGATTCATAGACAACTATCAATGGAGTTCAGAGATTATGTGTTTGTTTTCTACTTTGCTTATAAATATATTTAGGTAAGACGCCGTATGAACAGCTGATGACATTTACAGGTAATGTTTTGCAAGATGCAAGAGTATGAAATGTGTTCGAATGGCAGACATTTTTAAAAAATAAGGAAGAAAAAATTATGCAAGGTTTGTTTTCAAACTGGTGATTCTAGATTCACAGAAAGAAACTTATTTCAAGCTTTGTCGGAACTTATTTGCCCTTGGGTGCAACTGTTTTGGATTTTGAAGATTAATATGATAGCCAAGATAATAAAGTATACTTGATGTAGGAGCACACATTCCCATAGTCTTTGACCAACTTGGCATCGGCAATAGTACTATTTTATTGGATTATTATCATTTGGTGTCGTGTTCTGAATTCATACGTTATATTTCGTCTGGCCTTTGTGTCTGAAACAAATCTGATAAGGCATGAGGTCTTGAGAGTGCTGATACACCAATATTTCATATTTTTTTTACGAATTCTGACTTTGCTCCCTCGGAGAGAGTAAGGTTGTTTTCACCTTCTGAGCCAAACAGTTTGTTTTTGTTAGTAGAAACTTCATTTGATGTGCAAGGTCTCTGTCTGTTTTTTCAGTTTCCGGTGACAAGTTGGTCCCCGTATCCAATTGAGACATGCAGTCACAATCTTAAGCACTGCCGCAATTATATCGTTGAAGCAATTTGATATTAATTGAGTTCTAAAATTATCCAATGCTTAAGATGACTATGATATAATCTATCGGAATTTAGTAACTGTTCTGTCCATGTTAGCCTGTAGATCAATGTTATCTCTGATCAGTTTTAAGAAATGAGGACACACTGGTATTAATACCCGATGTCTCTAACATTGGCCGGACATCTCTAAAGCCACGATCAACAATTACATTGTCGACTTGCTCACACGTTGTGACCTTGTCTATGTTTTTTGCTAAAATGCTTGCATATTTCGGGCTTCCAGAGAATGGTTCTACAGTGTCCAACATGTAGCCATCAGGTAGAGCTATGCTCATGAATTTAAGATAATTACGCTTCTTCTGGCAACCGTAAGTCATTATCTGAAGCTTATGGCCAGCCCTTTTTTAATATAAATATATGTACCATCTATCAAGGCTGTCACATTGTCTCCAAAGAATGTTTCCGATAATAAAGTATTTGTGAAAATGTATGTTCCCTACTCAAATGGTAAGGACTAAGGAACACTGGAACAATAGATTTATGCAATACTTGTACTACAGAAGGAAGGGGTTTTGAAATACTAGGCAGGGAAATTTAAAAAAAAAGAAGAGAAAACACTTAACTACAACATATATCAGTTGTCATCATAACTCAAAACAGTAAAAGAGCATTTTGTGTAGTTTTGGTATATGCTAAAGAAGAAAGAAAAGTGACAAAGTATGAATGGATTTTGAGAAACAGTTCGTTGATCAACCTGTCCAAGATCTGCAGTCAGGGTCGTCCAAGAGACAAAAATTGAGAGTAAAGGCTGATTGGTTCTTTGATAAGATGTACGACATTCTAAAAGGTAATCAATTATTTCAGGTGACCGAAACAATAATTGAGAATTCAAACAACATCTTTCTTATAGTATAACCTGTGTATAAGGGTTCAGGTCATTGCTAATAAGAAGAAAAGAGAATGCCCTCACCTTTTTGGGTACACCGGGTACTTTGTCGTGCGGAATTTCCACCACTGAATTGTTGCATACATATTTGAAATAACACCACTTCTTCATAGAATAACAAATTTTGGTATACAAGAATAATAAGAATGAAAAATCCTATATTTTACATTTAAATTTTCACAAAATGTTCGATAAAACTCATTCTGGATGATAAAAATATTATTAAAGAACAACATGAAAGAAAAGGTTCTTTCCTAAGTATTACGATGCACAAAATACAATTTGTTTTTCAGAAAAATGCTTTCAGGCTGATATTCCATTAATCGACCCCCATGCTGTAATTAGGTTAATAAATCATCTAAATAACTAGTACAGTCATTCAAAGTAATAATATCGGATGAATAAAGGTTTGAAAAGAGTTAAAAGAGCAGCATAAATTTCGTAGCATTTCTGAAACAAGAATTATGAGGGGGCAGGGTCCTACATGTATGTGAATTTAACATAGCTGGAAATAGTCCTTTTTATATGGTGGCTGATATATGACATTTCGTCTTTTCGCTTTGTCGTTATTTCGTTATTTCGTTATTTCGCTTGGCGTTATTTCGCGGGCGACAAAGCGAAAAGACGAAATGTCATATATTAGCCACCATGCTTTTACTATCCAGAAATGTAAATACTCGTTTTCAAAAAGTATGACAGAAACGAATGTTTGTAATATATGCACATATCCATGTTATTTGTTTGAACATATCTGATGCTTTTCCGTAAAATGAAATATAAATAATACATTTATTATATAAAAACATACAAAGTACGTTGACTCGCAAAGCTCTTTTTGATACTTATTACTTTTTAAATTCATCAAACGTTTTGCAACCAAGTGTTTTGTAGTTAGCATAGCAAAGTGCGAAATTATTACAAAACGGGTTACATCAAGCACATGATAATTAGCAAATGCCGTCACAAAACCGTCACATAAGGTAATGAAAATAATATGTTTTTCGTTTTATATCATTCAGGCTGCCAAATCGGAAGTTATGGTAACCACAGCTGTAATGATACTTGCCCAGAAAGCTGTTACGGGGGAAACTGTAACGCTATAACAGGATCCTGCTTCTGTGAGTCCTACTAGACACATATTGAGCGTATTTATAAAGTAAATCTTATTTCGATATACATACGCACTGTACAAGTAAAACGTATTTTTTACAAAGGTACTGGAGTTTGGGGTTACATGGACTTTTTAATGCTGCAGTATCTTTTTTATTGTACTTTCATTATTTTGAAACACTAAACACCACATCCTTGCATCTTTAAGTAAATATATGTTAGTGAGTGGCTTAAAATAATCTGTTCCACAAAATACCAGTTTGAGTTCTTTATCGAGTTACATGTACATTGCAGCGCCATATTCGAAATGTGGAAAGTCTCTGACAAAAACAACATGTGTAACAAATATCAATATGATACTCATTTATAGTATTTTGACATTAATGTTACCACTTGTGGAAAAAAAAAACTGAATGTGTAAGAATAATTTACGCCTCACGATGATATATAAATAAGTGGTTTGTTGATATATCCTTAAATCAAATGCTGATATTTAAGGGCAGATCAGTAAAATTAACTACCTGATGTAAACGTTATGTATATAAAGGTGTATGTTTATGCATGTTAAGTATTGCTACATGTTCGTGTATACCTTACCATTATTTGCATTGGTGTACATAAACGGTCGTATTCTACTGGAAATCTTTATATAAGATTTATATTACATTTTGATAATTTGTTTTAGCTGTCAAACCAACCATGCTTGCTTCCAATGCATATTATGTTACTATAGTTTACCCTCAAAACAATTATATTAATATTTACATTACAGATTGTTTCCCTGGAATGTTTGGTGTTTTCTGTGAACAGCATTGCTCTGCTAACTGTAACAACACTTGCGAGAAAGAGTCAGGTCATTGTATAGGTACGTTTGTCGAATTTATTTTGCACCTTTTTACCTAAATTTATCTGTTCTTCCTTTCCGTAGTATGTTGATGCATTAGTAGGCAGTTCTTCAATGTGTTCGAAAATATAAGTTCAAACAACAGCAATGCTCATGGGATAAACTACATGGACTTGTTCTGTAATCAACAATGAAGGATAAAGTAAATTGCCGCGAAGCACATGTAAATTAAACTATATCACTAAAACTGATATGGCTATACTTAATAATCAGTGAAGTTTAATATCACATGAACATTTATACTATCTTAATAATATTTGAAAGGGTGGTCGGATGGCACGTTTGATAGCGCACTCACTTTCTTCCGTCCACGAAACCACATATTTCACAGTCTCACATCACCCCATATTAGAATATATAATGCTCGGATTGCTTTTATTTCTCTGCGTCTGATTTTATTAGTGCAAATATATACCTCAATGAGCATCGAGGTGTTAAGCAATGTTTAGTAAGGTATTTGGATCATAATGTATTAGAAAACACGACTTCAGCCGAAGAATTGAAAACATTTTACGCGTATAGATAAGAATAACACATTACGTTTTACATGTCAGTGTGAACATCATATAAACGAATGTGGGTAATTTCGTTCCCTGATATTTTGTCCCTTTTCAAAGAAAATTGTTTCCTGTATATAACATACATGTCAAAACAGAAAAGAGATATCGTCAATTTATAAGAACATTAATACGTTTAGATATATGGTTTATATATGTCTGCGATAGCTGAAGTCTGTGTTTTTGTTTACCTTGAGTAGAATTATAGTGTGATAAAAACTCTAATATATCAACCTGTGGATGCTTAGATCTTACAATATGCCTTTAGATTATGATTGGATTTTTAGGATAACCACTCAAACGTTGTTGATTGCCGAAATTGCCTACTGTGCGACTTACGTAATATCCTGTTGTGTTTGTTACTGGTTAAATAGTTCAGTCGGATTAGAAAATATCGGGGTAAATAATAAGAGGTATGTCTGACCTTCAGGAATAAAATGTTATCCTTCTTGAAAACCTTATTTACATCCATACATTTCTTTATGGTAATTTCTATATATTGCTTTCTTTGTGTGTATCTTATTTCCTTTACTTATTATTATTGGTTTCGAATTCCGCTTTATTTTTCCAACAGCCACTAACGATTTCCTCATTCATGACTCATTGGTTTAACCTGCTAGGATGTCATTTTTCATTTAGAGGTAATGTTTAATGGCAATTGTTTCCCCTATCGGAAACACATATTATGTATTTTCGAAGGGAAAAATGTGTTTTTCAGATTTAAACACGAATATTATGGTAGAAACAGGTATCAAAACTCGTGATGATTAGTTATCCTCTTATAACTCTCGTTGGTTAATTTTCAAATTGAAAAGACACTCGATTAACTCACTCAAGTCAGATACACATGATAAGCATCCCTCACTCGTTTGGGAAACTCTATTAAATTCAACTGACAATTTGTGTCCTGCTTGATATAATCCATATGTTTTAATAACCTTTAAAAAATCACTTTTTAGGATGCAAACCCGGAAAAAAGGGGGACCTGTGCAATGCTAAATGTTCCCCAAATTGTGTAATATGCGATCAGACGTCCGACCAATGTTTCGGTAAGATATGACAATACACACGTTTCAATTAAATTTTCTTTACTTGCTTTTTTGTTTATTTTTTTTTTAATATGGTCATTGTTGTGATTGATTGTTAATCATATTGTATTAAAATAGGACAGTTAGCTCTTATATTAGCACAATGTAATGCTGTGTTTAAAATCTCTTTGCCAAATAGGTGGGGTTGTTTTTTAAATGTAAGTGATAGCATGTCACATCCTTGTATTACAGTCTGTGTTAACGGAAAGTACGGAGACGACTGTGAGCAGGATTGTTCTCACAACTGTAAGAACAGATCGTGTATGAAGGAAAATGGATATTGTCTAGGTAATTAGCAAATATATAAGTTTAATGGAATGTCGTATTGCAAATATTTATAAACCATATCGTTTTCCAGATATTACCTTACCTTTAGCGTTTTATTATGAAGATCACAAATTTAAATAATATCTTAATAATTACTGTAAAAATAAAAAGGGCAAATCGACTTAACAATAAAAAACACTACAAGAAGGGAGAGCGGGTAATCAAAAACGCATGTTGGAAGGCACAGTAATATCGACTGTGCTTCTGAATTTCCACGACTACAGAGCTTCTGTTTTTCTATCTTACATAAGACAATCTCATTTTCTAGATGTAATCTATAAGGTATAATATGCTTATATTACAGACTGTGTAAACGGAAAGTACGGGGACATGTGTGACCAAGATTGTTCTGACAACTGTAAAGACCAATCATGCATGAAGGACAATGGGTCCTGTCTCGGTAACTAGAGTATAGACTTAAGCAGATATCAATTCTGTGGATATTTTTATTGTTAACCCAGTATTACACAGTAGTATATAACATTCATATTTTCGATGAAAATCTTTTGATGAAAAACCTCCTAAAATATTTGTGTGAAGATGATAAATAAACATAGCTCTATATTTCTCTCTTTCTTTTATTAGGCAAATGTTCACATATTCAATACCAAAAAGACGAATCGAACTTATTCTTAAATGTATCAGAGTATAGAATGTTTGATATTGATATTTTCTTTCTTTTTAAAGAATGCATTTCTGGAAAATATGGTAATGATTGTACAAATGATTGCTCTGACGACTGTAAAGGCAAAACATGCATAATGAGCAATGGACATTGTATAGGTAAGCAGTATATTATATACAATTTCTTTGTGGTTAACATGACAACAAACATATATTGCAACATTAATTAAGTATCATCAATAAATCATGCAAACAAAATGTATATTACGCTAAAGGTATATACCATGTCTATTCTAAATTTTAAATCAAAGCGTTCAACATCACACTGCTGACTATTGAGTGCAAATATAATTTATTTTAATTGACATTGTCCTTAAATCACATTGAAACAAAATGACATATCTTATGTAAAGAAATAACTCTTATCTAATGCCATGTAGTACATGTACATGTTCAATGTAAATCCCAAATTACTGGAGGGCTTTGATGACGACATAGGATTTTGTGCACAGATAAACCCGATTGGAGATTGAGTGGCCACCGTACCATCAAACAGATTGCAACTAACATTTGCCNCCCCCCCCAACCCACACCCACCCCTCGGCGACAGATTTGGGTGTTATAAGTCGTAACCTATGCTTTATTACTGATGCACTCCTCTTAATACTTATGTAATTATGTAATTGTATAATTATTTTTTTATTTTGTCTTGTTAACAATAACAAACATACCTTTTAGATGTTTTAAAGCAATAAATTGGGTTTATATAAAAGAATGCGTTAACAGAAAGTACGGGGACGTGTGTGACCAAGATTGTTCTGACAACTGTAAAGACCGATCATGCATGAAAGAAAATGGATATTGCCTAGGTAATTAGTATACGCCTAACGGGTACAAATACTGCACAATAAAAGTTATTTTTACATGTCTATATTTTCTAGATATAACATTTAGCAATACAATTATGAAAACCATATAAATGAACGTATGTTAGATTATGGCAATACTTACTAGCACACTATTAAAAGGGTTAATCGAGTTAATAACAAACACATGTGTATGCAACATTTGAAATATGGTCTGTATGCGTCATTGGACAAAATCAATCATTTTACAGAATGTGTTCCTGGCAAACATGGTGATGATTGTACAACTGATTGCTCTGACAACTGTAGAGACAAAACATGTGTGAGGAGCAACGGACATTGTATAGGTAAGTAGTATATTATATACAATTATTGCATAGTTAACGACGAAAGAGCAATTCACTGTGCTATATCGAACTGGGATTCGTCTTAATTCATTAATTCCAATTTGTTCAAAAAATAGAGAATATTTTCAATCACCATCTATCGCCAAATCGACAGCCGAGAACGTTATAAAAGTTTTAAAACCTCAATCATATATTTGATATATGTCATGCACGGTAAGCCAAATTGACCACATATCACAGTAAAGACAAATTAAATTCAATGTTTATTTATATATATCCATATATATGTATAGGTCTCATAAGTAATAACGACAGAATGATCCAATATTGGCCCTTTATCCGAACAAACAGATTTTAGTTGGATGCGTATTACTTAAATAGGTAAATGGGCAAAGAAGTAGTTATCGACAGTGCAGACAAAAACAACTGTCAAATATTCATGACGATCTGCCCCTTTATAAAGAAAGGAACATGAAAATTTACACATCACAACATGTAACAGAGATAAACAGTCACCATGAAATAATGATACATTAAAATACATAATCAAACAGAAGTTACTTATATTAGATATGCTGTTGTAATCGCATATCCCCTTTATTAACTTGTAACCGAAAGCTAAATATAGTAAATAATTCATCTTGTATACGTAAGTACAAATGAATTATTACTAAAAATTCTGAATGAATGTAGAGAGAACAATCTTATGTCGTAGCTATTTAGAAACATTGAACGCCGATAGTTCTAACCTTTAAATAATCACGTCCAAAATGTACCTATTTATTATGATGGAATACTTATTTAATATATTTTACTGACAATGTCTTATCATCATACGTAACGAAACGAGACAGGCATGGTTAATCATGAATGCATAATCTTTAGTTTATGTCGTATGCAAGTTAGACTATGTGCAAGTTATATTTTGAAGCTGTTAAGGGGACAAATGCTGTTTTGTATGGAGTAGGGAAACCGACGGAGGGGTAGGGGACTAACAAACATAACTTCCCTGGTTCAGTTACCGCTGGGGAAAAAAACGAATATCTATGGAGAGCTACCCACGCTTGTTGTGTATCTCACGCTTAATGACACAGTAATAATCGACTATTCTTGTAAGCGTTCAATTCTACCAAGGCATACCTTACAATTGGTATTGTAATGTTTCTGTTATTTGGTCCTTTTGAACAAAAAAGTGGAATATTTAAACAAAGAATGTTGATGATATTATATTGTATGTTTATGTTACAGAATGTGTCAAAGGAAAGCACAGTGACGTTTGTGACCTTAATTGTTCTGACACATGTAAAGATAAAACATGCTTGAAGGAAAATGGATTTTGTTTTGGTAAATCTTTTTCTCATTATATAATATTGATTTAATAAAATATCATATTCCAATAAAGTATCAAATTTTAAAAAAGAATCTTCCTATTTCATTTCAGCGGTCTTAACACGTATATCATTTATTTCTATGATGTACTTAATGTGAGGCAATATCAGATTTAATCACATTAAACACACATTGATGTTTTAATGTACTTCAGTGTCTGCGTTATTTGACTAAGGATATAAACCTTGCACATATATTTTGTAAGCAGTGCACCTCATCTACTGTGTTGACTTATGGAATATAAATGCATGGTGACATACATAATGTTTATTTTCAGACTGTATTCCTGGTAAAACAGGCGAACTGTGCACTTCCAACTGTTCTTCTAACTGTGTGACATGTAACCAGACATCCGAACAATGTTTTGGTAATGATAGCTTCTCATTGTCATCACTGTTAATTTGTTTGTTGATGGTTTAGTAGTGCTACAATAAATGTAAATTACTGCGCATAAGGGGAAGTAACTCTTACAATAGTTAATTCTTGATGATGCGCTCATCCAAATCACAGGCTACTTCTTTCTCGTGAAATTCCTTGATCCATTCAACATTTAGGACATCACAGTTTCCCTTAACACAAATACTTTAAATCTTAATGTTATTATTTTAGAATGTTTTCAACGGACACATGATGACATGTGTATCATTTCC